GGGTATTTATCTTGACGCATGCGCAGGGCAATTGATTCAAATGCTGGCACCAAACTCGATACCACACCACCAGGGGCTTGTGCGCTCAGGACCCCAGGCGGCAGTGGAAGCAACGCTGAAGGCAAAGAGCCTTAGACCCATGGCTGCAGCAAAAGCAAATGCCCGGTGCAGAAAGGATTTCAGAACAAAAAGGACTCCTGGTAAGGTTGCAAGAGCCTTTGGATGGTCTTTGGTGATTCCCTATTTCGCATACGAGTGGATAACCACTTTCGGAGACGACCTTGACAGAACTGTTGGGGCTATAGAGCAAGAGAGCAAGTCGACATATCAGACGTCCGGGCCGGAGGCTCGGAAGGTGTTTGTGCTTGCTTGTGTCTGCGTTGTTGTCTTGGTTGGCTTTGTGCTCAAGCGTGCTTTGCTTGCTTGTTTGTTTGTTTGCTTGCTTGTTTGCTTGATCAGTCGGTCATGTCGGTCGATCGGTCGGACTTGTCGGCCGGTCGGTGTGCGTGTGTGTGTGCTTGTTGTTTCGCTGTATGTTTTTCTGCTTTCCGTCGGAAGGCGTGGATTTGGACAGCGTCAAGACCATGAGTGCGAGCCTGGAGCTTGACAAGTGCATCGCGGACTTGCGGCGGCGAGTCACCGAGGAGCGAAAGTCAGCGGGAGCCCAAAGATCATCCCCAACAGCCCCCTCCATTTCGTAAAGTTGAGGCCTCACAAACGTCTTTGCAGCGGAACAGAGAGAGAACGTCCCTTTAATGAGGCTCGCAAAGCCTGAACGATTGTGGGGGGTCTATAGGATAGTGTGTGCGAGGAGCGGTTCGCTTTCAAAAGTAAGTGGAGCGGTTGGTGGGATCGGACAACAAAGACCTGGTTGGGTTCAGGTTGGTGCAGGTGGTGCGGACATCTTTTTTATTTCAGTGGTTCGGGTAGTGCCTGTACCAGGTTTTGGTTGTTTGCCTTTGCCTTGGTGGCCATTTTGGGAAGCACCCATTTCTTGAACGACCGCAAACGTGGATGGGGCCCAAGAAGAACCTTCCTGGTTGCCATGGGCGGGTTTGGGGAAGAGACCCAGTGCAGGACAAGGAAGTGTCCCTGTTGATGAAGTCCGACATCATGACGCAGCTCGATGGCGTGCGGCTTGGTGGCACTGCAGCCGGAGGCTTGCCAGAGTACCTGCCAGGGTGCATACTCTGCCCCAGTGCGCATCACCTGCACGCAGCACAAGGCTGTCTCCAGAAATGGGTCCATGAAACCCACTTTGCCCGCAACATTGCTCAACCATCTCTCTTGGTGCGGCTGCGGGGTGCTTTCGGCTTTCTGCTTTCCGCCTGCGAGCCGCCAGTCTTGCCAGCTCCTCCGTCCCCACGTCGCGTGATCCGAGGGCGAAGGGGTTGCTGAAGGTAGGCAAGGCCGAGACCAAGAAGTTCGAGGGCAAGGCCAAGGAGGATGGCGAGAAGCTGGGCCGCTGGGCGAAAAAAGCAAAAACAAACATGGACCTGGTATTTTTTGCATTCAGTTCTTTTCCATATATCTTTTTGGGGGGGTCTGGGTTGGGGTCAACGGTTTGTCTCTCTACCTTTGTTGGTGCCCTTTGTCAGGGGTTGTTTTGAAGGGAAGCCAAAATTGGAACCTTCCCATGTTGCGGTCCCGGTCTTTTCTTTTTTGACCTTCAGTTGCTCATTTGGGGATAGCCACATGCCCCAGTTCCAGGAGTTTCCACATTTTGAGACGCTGCCGAGGTTTTAACGTTTTACCTTGGTTTAAACGGACAAGGAGAACCGAATTCCATGTTTGGGGGTCCATTCCTGATGTAAATTGACACATAGCCACATCAGTCACTGGACATGTTACCAGGGTATCAGGTTTTGGCGGTTTTGCAGCTGGGTGAGTATTTATCCATTTTGGGTAGTCCCGCGTTGGCCTCCTAAAAAAACGAAGAAGACGGAACCCCAAAAAGACAGAGCAAACCACGGAAGCATCTACCCCCCCCCCCCAAAGAAAATATAAAACCTCCCCCCAAACAAACAAGACAAAAAACAGACAAAGGGCCCCTCAAAGAAACAAATTCAAAGAACACCCCCCCCCCCCTCCCTCCAAAAAGCAAAGCCAACAGGGCCGGGGACTTTGAGGCAAGGAGGCCACAGCGGGCTCCGGGGACACCTTCGTGGGCGTGGTCCAGGCGGGGGCTGGCTGCGACGACGCCAAGGTCCTGACCCCAGCGATGGAGGCGGCCATCAAGCAGTGCCCGGACAAGGCGCGAGCCGTAACGCCGCAGCCGCTGAAAGTAGCCGACGGCGGCAAGGATGATCTGGGTGTGTTCTTGTTGAATGGTTTCCCATAGGTTTCCTTATGCATATGAATGGAACCCATAGGAAACCAAGGTTTACTGTGTTCCTGTTATCCTCCCACCGTTGTTTTTTTTTTTTACATGGAACATGACAGGGACCCGGTGCCTTTAAAAGGAAGGTGGTCTAAAAAAGGACCCTTCTGTCAGGTTCCATGTTATATAATTGGTGGGAGGGCACATGGTTTCCGGAAACACGGCCTTAAGTGGCCTCGATTCAACAACACGTCAAGTGCCCTTGGTTGAAGGGCACTAAAAATATGCTGGCCCATAGGTTTCCCTTGGTATTGATGTAAATGTAACCCATAGGAAACCAAGGGTTACTGTGTTCTTGTAAATCCCAGTGCTTCCAGGCAACTGTAGCAGGTAGCCAGGTGTTAATACCTGGTTACACTGGAAGCACTGGGGATGGTTGCCCATAGGTTTCCCTGAGCCTCGTGTAAATGGAAGCCATAGGAAACCAAGGATTAGTGGCTTAAATTCAGAATACCGAATAGGCATTTGCTGTTTAAAGCAAAGGTTGAAAACATAGCGCAGATGCGTGGTTTTCCTCTTAAGGAAGCAACGAGAAATACGGAACACTAGATAGACGAATAGATGGATACATACAAATGAAGAATACAATGAATAAACAACCATCCGTTATTCTGTAAAATGGCGTTCATGAAGCAATGCTTAGCGTTGCGGTTGAGCATTGTATGGCCTTCAATGGGGCGAGAGGGGTGCCACCAGTCTGAGGGATGAAGGGGGCAAGCACTGGCTCTTTCAGGACCCCTCAAAATCGACCGTTTCCGTTTTATTCCTAAAGCATACCAAAAGTAGGTGTCTGGTTTAAGGTCTATATTTAGAATCTTGAGGCGTCCTCAAAACGGCTGGGTGTCCCTTCACTTCCCCTGGTAGCTCCCCGATTTCTTTGGCGGTACCCATGTTGAGCCCGAATTGGGTTCTCAAAATGAGCGACCTCTAGCTGGTACATGTTCTGACTTCCCTTTCTTGAGCCTTGGATGTTTTCGGGACCCTCAAAAGCTTGGTGTTCCCAAAACCCCTTACACCCGAGGGTGTGTGTTTTTGTACGGACACGCCACTCAAGTGGTGCCGAGGCGATCATGCTCATGAGCAACATGGGCGGCAAGTTGGCCATCCTCGCAGTGGTTCCCAAAGCACTGGTGGGCAAGCTGTCGGCGAAAGCGTGGTCCGGCAAGGCGGGGATCGAATTCGCTCGCGCGAAAATGATAGCACTTCGGAGCACAGGAGTCGTGGCTGCTGTTTGGTTGGATCTTTAGCGTTGTTGCTTTTTCTTTTTTCCCCAACAGCGGAAAGCTTTGGGGTCTCAGCCCAGATAGGCTCCGGGGTGGTCCGGGGCAGCCCTGAGGTAAGGTTCCACGGGGGTTCCACCAGGGTTCCACGAGGGTTCCTCGAGGTTCTGCAAGGGCTGCGGGGTGGTGCGAGCACTAAAAAGAGCACCGAATGCTGTTGTGGATGTCACCTGAGCTTCTTTTTTTTGGGGGGGTGAGGGGGAATGAGGTTATTCCCCACAAAACGCCAAGAGTGTATGAACCTTTTGCCCGGGCATTAGCCAAGGATTCCTAAGCCTTCACTTTCCGAGAGCCTTCCCCAAAGTCTGACCGGGGCGAGCGTGCGCGCACAGATTGCCATGGGACCAAGCATGAAAGTGCCGCAGGTGCTGGATGCGATTGGTGGAAAGGGAGGTGGAAAGGACCAGTCGCTCGCAATCTCTCTGAATGCCTTGCCCAAGTCAATGAGTTACTCCTTTGCTTGTCGCCATGTTTTGAGCTTTTGGCTTCACCTTTGGGTTTGGTCTGTTGGATATTTTTAGCCAAGCCGACAGGTTCACTTTGGAGCCACCATCCTTTGGGCAAGTGAGACTGGGGGGGGGGGATTGCCCTAAAAGGGCTTCGGTTGCTTTTGATCTCCCTGGCCAATCCCCAGATTCTTTCAAGAATCGCTATAAACATAGCCACTCACCAGTGTTTTTTTCCTGGTTCCTCACTTTTTCCACTGAACGGAAGCAAATGGAACACTGAAGCCATTTTTGGGCCCCCGAAAAAAGAGAGACCCACCTGTTGTCAGTTCACAGAACTTCCAGGGGTTGATTCCCCCTTCTTTCCTGGGGTTTTTTAATTCTCAGAAAAAAACCAATTTGAACTTAAAAACCCAGGGAAACCACTGGTGGCTGAAAAGAACAAGGGCTTAAAAGACTGGGGAGTTAGCCAAGCCCTAGAGAACTGGATGTGAGCCTCAGTCCTCCCAGGAGGATCGTGCGCAGGGCCAGGGCGATGCTTCGAAGCTGGACGCAGCACTGGGTGCTGCAAAGAGCTACCCCTAGGCTTTCGAGAGGAAAACACGGGAGCCCTGGGTGGCAACTAAAACGGGCTGGAAAACGGAGATTGCCATCGGAAGCCGTGTGAGAGCGTCTCACGGCAACCATGTGCCCGCTTAGTCGCGCGACTCAAAAAGGGACCAAGATGGACTGAGCCCCTTGAAGCGAACATTTTGAGGGGTTGTCATAGCTACTTTGGGGGCGTTTCGCTGGAGACAGCTCTTTAGAGGGCAAATTTGGAGGATGCCACTCAATGGGCCCAGTTGGATATATCCATGGGTGGGAATGGGCGAAGAGCCGAAGACCCGATCTTAGGTGTCACAGGATGACGTGAAGATCATGGAGCCAGAGGCTGGGGGCTGCATGCATTTTCCACCCTCAAAGCAGTGATTTCAAGGGCAAAATGCACCAGGAGTATTTTGAGACGCCCTCAAATGTTGTCCCCAGTGCCACACATTTTGCATTTCCGGCGTGCGCAAGGCTGGAAGCAGCAAGTGGGAGGCACTGCTCATGAAATCTTGTGTGCTGAGCGAATTGAAGAGCTTGAGATTGGTGATCCTGGGCTTGGTAGCACTGGTAATGGAACCCTTAACAGGAAATGAAAGCAGCCATGGTAAGGATTCTTAGTAAGGGAGCTATGACCCTGGAAAAGTTAACCATGACAGCACAGGGGAATCTCCAATTGGCAGTATTGTTGCATTTCAGCAGGGGTACATTTGCCCGGCACAGCGCCAAGCAGGTCTTGCCGTACTTTGAAGCGCGATGCTTCAACGAACCGAGGCAGACGTCTTGAGAACATTCGATGTCGGAAGCCGCATGCCGCGCAGGGGCGATCCCATCCGGGTGTTCCAAACACACGGCGGTGGACATTACCAGATGCTCACCTGAGCATCGCTTGCGCACTGCGTGAACTTGAGGTGGACAAACATAGCACGACCGCTGAGCAAATGTAGCTACCACATGTCCGATTTGAACCTTGTCGCATGAACACCTGCATCAGATGACCATCACATGTTCGCAGTCTGACGCCAAGGGGGGGGGGGCAGGGCGGCACATAAATGCGACAGGCCTGTTTGATACACAGGAACAACCAAGCAAGCATTTTTGAGTGGCAAGACCTACGAGCATATGGAGGCAGCCGGCATGGGCGTGTGAATTCCCCGACGCTTCAAATTTGATTGCTGGCGATCAGGAAGAAGACTTGATTGCCCATTGCGAAGAACTCAAGGACTTGCACAACCATCACAGCCATGCGGGATGTTATTTGGTGTTGTTTGAAACCGATGGGTGAAACAAATCGATCACCATGTGACATGCTACGGCACCAGTTTCGGGACGCATTCCCATGTGTTTCCTAATTCAGGCGCAAATATTGCTGGCAGATTCCTCCGAATTCGCTCCGCAGGAACGCGGCAATCGGAAATTGGCGGCGGGGGACAGTGCAGGTACTCCTTGCTGTGTTTGGTTTCCCCTTTTTGCACGAATCCACGCCATTCAGCCCAAGGTGCACGTCGTTTGTACACTGAGGCAGGCTGGAAGGATTTTTTCTTTGTCCAAAACGTGCCCAATACTCGCCAGGCTTTGGGGTCGCTCGAGGAAAAGGGCACAGGCCACATCGGGATTGCTTGCAAATTGCCAAATGTGTGAAACGCATCCGGAACTGGATTCAGTCATTTTTTGCATTCACAGAGTGTACGTGTTTGTCAGTGCGGACCCGCTGAACCTGTTTGTTTTTGGTGCCTCAATTAAGGATTTCAGATTTGCTTGGCGCACGCAACGTGGCAACCCTACTCTTGGCAATTCCCGCCTCGCTCGTAGGCAGCAAGGCGAATCAGCTGTCCGCAGTCTTGCATTCCAACACTGCGCAGGCGCGTGCAGATTGATTGATCACGTGCCAGCGACAGAGTGCGCGCTCAGGCCTTCATGAAGCAGCAGAAATGGTTTGAGGCCAGCATCGTTTTTGCTGCAGGGCGCCTTTTTTTTTGCGAAAAGTACCTTTTGACTTTTGATTTCCGGCCATATTTGGCCATGGATGCCATGGTGTCAAAATGCTGTGTGCGTGCTTGGGTGTGTGTGTGTGTGTGCGTGTGTGCGTGTGTGTTCTTTGAGGGCGCCACAGGACGCCCTTTTTAGGTTGGTTAAAGGCAAACCAGAAAAATAAGTTGCCCGACTTTGACAAACCCAAAAAGGGTCAAGGTGTGTCTTCCAGATCTTTTGAGTAGTGTCACATTGCGCATGCCCATGTGTTCGCCAGGCTATAGACCAATGCCACGCTGCACCGCACTTGGATTAGGACAGCATTTTGTTTGTACTTGCAATCACCAGATTCAATGGGTATTGTATGTGCCACAATGGGAGGACCAAAAAATGATGGTTTGGGTATGTTTGGGTTTATTTTTCAACCAAACTGAAAAGGATACTGTACCCTTAAAAAATCCCGCGCAATGAATATTTGGGGTGACAAATGGACACCTGCTCAGCAATTTTACCACGCCACTCGTTTGAGTTCCTGCGAAACATGCAGCAGTTTCGAGCCCGGTCGGTTTTTGTTTCCCAGGCATTGCGATTTGACCCTTCCCACACCAAGCTCAGCGCTAAGCTCAAATGTAGTTGTGCCAGGGCCAAAGTTCTTTGTTCAGGTCCTCTTGGCGAGGGGCAACCTGTGCTTTGGAGGAGATTGCACAGAGAGACTCAGGGCACGTTGTGGCAAAAACGTGATGCTAGTCACTTGTCTCATTTGTCCATCCGGGATGGTATCCTAATTTGTCCCTGCGCATAAATGCAAGCAACTGGATTCAGTTGCAACTCAAGGTGTGACGCTTGGTGTTCCACTTGCACGTTTGTGTCCATCGTGCAGGCCGGCATGCGCGACGTGGCGATAGCCTTTGCAGAGCCGATGCCTTATGAAAAAAATGGAAGCTAAGGCTGCGGTTTGCCTCACCGAGTTGTCCACAATCAAAACCCAGGTAGATGAAGGCTAGTAAGGGGCAGTCCCAGCCAGAAATAGTTGCGGCCGCCCTCTCAATTCTTTACATGGTTCTGGGTGGACCATGTTAATACCGGGTTTTGATTGTGACTCAAGTAAACATGGGGAAATTAATTTACTGGGAACCGGGTTTCAATTTAGACAGATCAGCTATTGCAAGTCAATGTGGGTGTGTTTTGTTTGGAGAGTACCCTTTTTGGTTGGCTTTAAATCGAAACCGAGAAAGGACAATTGCCATTTTGGGGGTCCCCAAAGAACAACACACCTATGATTACGTTTGCCGATTGCAGTCACGTGTATTCGAGTGCGAAGAAGGTCAAAGGAATTCGGTTTTTGTGAAACAAACAGCTTAGTGCAGAAAGGCACTGCCGCACCAATGACTTGCCCAAGGAACGGCTTAGAACACAATGAGACATGCGAAGAGCTTTTGGAGCTTCGGCGAAGGCAAAGTGGCACAGAGCACATGTTGCCTCATGTTGAGTGTTTGTGCGATTCTACGCAGGGTTGCTGCTTGAGCCTTTCAAAGATGACCAAACCTTGGTATTTTGGTTGGGTTTCTTTTGGCACTCCTCCCAGGAACACACATTTCTACCTTGGGTGAAACCACGCGCTTGGCTTTTGGCTTCACTTCGGGGCTTCCATTGGGCGCCTCATCGCCAGGCTTGGGCCACTGCAGGGGCCTCAGGACTCGAAGGCTTCGTTCGCCCGCGAACGAAGCCTTCGCAATCAATATCGATTTTCTAGGGGTTGATTCCTTGTCCATTCTTTTCAACCATCGTTCTTTTCAAAAACCGGATCTGTTCCCTGGGTTTTTGATTGTTTCCTGAAAAGAAGGATCCCTGGTGTGGTGTTGGGGCACAAGATCAAGAACCAGACGTCGGACGCGGCATTGTTTCAAGACCTGGGCAACTCACCTGGGAAGGTCGCCCTAGAGATTTGGAAAATCACGCACTGACGTCCGAGGCCTGATGTGGAGCTCCCAGGCGTGGATGTTCGTTGGCTCGCGATTCTCCGGCGAGCTGAATCATGCGCGAAGCCGCACGAGTACGCCCAAGAGTATTGGTGCTTGTGTCTTTGGTTTGTTAGGTCCCCCCGGTTTTTGGGTTCCGGATTTGTTCATTTTTTGCAGGAAAGTACTTGGCATTGTTGGCATGTTGACTTTGTGAGTTGTTTGGACCCCCGAGCTCACAGCAGAGGCGACAGCGGTGATGAACTTGGTGCGGTAGACTGGCACTTGCCACTGGAAGAGACCAAGGCTGAGAGCTTGTGGGATGGTTGCTTTGGGATGGATCGAACTTGGTTGAGTTTTTGCTTTGTGCGTGGTTAGACACTTGGATGCTTACATCTGACTGTAATGTGGTTGATTCATCGTCAACCTAAATGTCATGGCAGGATCGAATGTAGTAATCACCGAAGGACAAGGTTTGGGCAAGAATCGGAAATCATAGCTCGGTGGTGTGCAGCAACTGCGTAAGCTGGTTGTGATGTGTTGTGCCCACAAACAGACTCACTCATGTTAGATGAGCATGGCAGAGTGACAATGCTGCGCGGCCGATTTCTCAACTCGGGCGCAGATCACGGCAGGATGGCAACCATGTTTTGAGCTGCAGGCTTCAGAGCTCTTAAGGTATAGGAAGCGCGATGAACACGATGTCCGCATGTTCCACTGTTAGAAGTAATGTGGCCGTGGGTCAACACCAATGGTACCAGTTTGGGGGTTTTCGGTGCACCACCCATTTTAGAACCTATTTTAGTGGGGATTGGGATGTTCGCTGGGGGTACGGGGTTTTGACCCATAGCCATGTGTTCGAATGGATCCGCCTGTTGAACTCCAACGCAGGGTTTGTTTGTCAGGCAATGCAGAAGCTCCGACGCCCACCTGCGAAGCCTGGCAAAGAAAAAGGCCTGGGTTGAACTACTATGGATGGACGAAATCCTGCACCATCTAAGAAACCCTTGAATGATGATGTCCCTGTAAATACAAGAAAAATATGGTTTCAACCATGGTTTCTTAGGTGGTGCGAAATGGATTTCGTCCATCCACAGTATGAGATGTTTCTGAGTGGGAGTCGCTGCCAGGAGACTGACCTCCAGAGAAAATGCGAACATGGCCAAGAACTCCTCCGCAGAGATGGACTCGAATGCACCGATGGCCGGAGATGGCTCAGAGCTCGCGGATGCGGAATGGACGTGAAGCACATCCCAGACCGCTGGATGTCCGCGCCTCACCACAAGGTGCATCCGAAGAAAAGGCTTCGAGGGCCTGAAGGGCAGAACATGGAAGGATTCAACAAGACGCCTTTTGAGGGGCACTGCCCGAAACAAGTTCTTGCAATTCCAGCAGAGCGCAAGAAGTCAGCGCAAAGAGGATGAACACGTGGCGGGCATGCTTTGCCAGCATCGCGTTGCTGGGGATTTGCGAAGAGGAAGACATCAGCAACACGAACAAGTTCTACGAAAGTGATCCACCAACTGCCAGCTCACCAAAAGACTGCCTGGCCTCCCAACTTCTTGCCCGACGATGTGACTGTCCCAGCTGCTTCACTGTATGATGTTTCTCGGCAAACTGGGTATGAGGGTGATCACAGGTGTGCATTGGCAGCCAGATGCACGTTTAAAATGTGCCTGAGCAGTGTCGCGGACGTGACGTGACGTGACCCAAATTTGTACGGCACATCTCTTCATACCATCCCACATGGAAGTGCAAAATCTACCTTTTCCAAAAGAAACACATTGTGAGTGAATGGCCCAGTGGCAAACTGACTTTGTGGTGCGCGGGTGAAGTACAGGCCACTTTCCAGCTTTTAGGCTCAAATCCATGGCAGGGACGTGCAACATCCACCCAGAGTGAGTTTGTGAGCAAAAAACAGTCTGCCAGAGTGGAAGGCCTAAGCGAGACATTGGACTAGCGGCATCAAACAAGCCCCGCGCCTCCCCTGTCTTCCATGGAGGCTTGGGATATGCTTTCTGGTGCAGCTCCATGCAGCCGAAGCATCTCTGCCAGACTTTGTCGTATGGATATGGCTGTGGTTGTCAACCGTTTTGGGATCCCATTTTGGGGGTTTTCGGTGCACCACCCATTTTAGAACCTATTTGGGGAAGTTTGGCCAGTCGACTTAGGAAGTGAGTGGATGATTTCTCCTTGGTTTTCCTTTGAAACGTGAGAAAGGGTACCAACCATGGCTATCTTGGACGAGTTGTTTCTTGTTCGGCTTAGAGATTCTGCACATTCTTGGAAGAAGCGCATGTTTCGCAAGAGTATTTTTGTCGGGCGGCTGCAACTCGCGGTGGATTGACGGCATACGAGCATTTGGGGTGCCACAAGATGTTTGAATACCCAATCACCCGACCATACTCAGGAAAAGATTGGTGAGTTCGAAAACTTTCACGCTGCCGGTGGATTTCGGGGAACCGCATCCGGAACATCCAGACGGCTCGCAACTGCTGGCTGACAGGGAAGTGAGTATCGAGGCTTGGCATCCAACGTTGGATGGTCAACGCGGCGAATGTCACGAGTTTGGCGCGCATCCGATGGGTACACATATGTTAAATGGGTTCCTATGTTGGTTTCTCTTGGAACAAAGGTGACAACGGCGCCCTCAAAAACAAACAGACACACACACACACCAATAGATGTGGCAGGCTTGCATACCATTGGACACTGAGGATGGCGATGAAGAAGAAAGCCCAAGACTTAGTTTGCCTTGCGAGATTCCAATAGGCTTGCTGCATAGTCCAGAGCCAGCTATTTTATTTCAAGACGTTTTTTCAAATCAAGACAGCTCTATCAAGGGGTTACCATGTTGTTGTTGTTTTTTTCAACGATTGCACATACGTCAAAGGCTTGAAGGAAGTGGAATTGTCGCGTGCTGCACCTCCCCCAATCATAGATGCAGAGAAAGGCCTGATCTATGGCGTGCTTCAGGCATCACAGCCGCACGGCTGCGCGAGACGGCACGGCAAGCAATGCGGGGACAGGCGCGAAGGGTTTGAAAAATAAATGCGCGTGTCGTATTTGTGTTGGAGTTGCTACCCCATTTGGGGTGGTTTCAATAATTCTAACAAGCATGTGTTTTGTTGCAGAGAGGTGCCCATTTCAAGTTTCCCCAATCAGCATTGTCCAGCTTCGCAGGAACCTTGTTTGTCGATGTGCACGTGGCTGCTTGAAAGAAATGCCCGTTCATTTGGGGTGCAATACAGCCCGTACACGTTCAACTTCCCGAAAGAAAATAGCTGTCCCGGACCCGCTTTGAACACCCAAACATGAGCCCTTTAAACAGTGACTTCCATCAGATTTTATTTTTATTTGTTTTAAAGAAAAACGTCCATTTGGACTACAATATGACAGCCCAGAGTGTGGTAACTGAATCCAAAAGACAAGAGAGAGTTTGGATAGCCTCAGCTAAAGCATACGTTGCATGCCCTCACAGGGCGAAAGATGTAATAAGTGACAACTGGGGGAAGCGCATATTGTGTTTACCAAGGACATCAACATAATCTTAAGGAGGAGACGTGTAAGAAGAGTATGTTGGCTTCCTTTTTGAACGTCCAACAAGGGAGTGCCCGTTTTTTGCAGGAAAGAATGTCCTCCGGAGAGGGTAGAATAGAGAAGCCACAGGTTTCAACACACGAAGTTGCGCGTTAGGCAAGGACGGTGCGGAGCAGCTCTTGGAGTGTATTTGCATCTCAGCCATAGTCCTGGAACCGATGGACACGATGTCCGCGGAAACCTGACCCTCGTTGGCTTTTGAGGGTTCCCAGGTTCCCATGTGTCGTCGGGTTGCCCTAAAGCGAGGCTTCGACAAGTGGGAGTTGATGTGCAAACTGAGAGGAGGAAACCAGGGGATGCCATGTGTCCGTCTCAAATCAGCGGCCGAAAAGGGGAAGGGAACATGGGATCCATAAAAGACGCCGAGCACCTCGCCGGCGTTGCCAAGGTTTGTCTTGATTTGGGGAGTTTCTTTTCATTCGAATTCCCACACAACACCCAGAAAAGGGTCCCCCCTTCCCCCCCCCCCGAAATTGGGGACACGCATGGTGATGTTGGCTTCCCCCACCCAAAAGCGCCCCAACTCTTGAGACACCACTTTTTTTGGGAGAGCTAATTTGACCTCGGATTGCACCAGGATGTTTGGGGAAAAGGGCCCTTGGCGACTGACCCGGGGCTCTTTCAGCCTACGGGAGTTGCTGAATGAAAGCTGAGCCAATGATTAATCAGATAGAACCCCCGAGCAAATGCACCCCTCTGAATCCATTCCGGGTTAGAGTGATCACCCATTAAGTTGACCTTCAGGTTTGAGCATGTGCATGATTGGAACATCTCCGTTGTGGAATGCCAGTTTGGGCATGTCGTGTTTGCGCGGATACCCTTTGTGGGAGTTGCTATACAGTGAAGCCTAAACCGCCGAGGTACAGGACGAGTTGCACCTCAGCTTCGTTGAGGTCTGGACAGGATCCAAGAAGGCCAAGGGCACGACGCCCTGTGAGTCGTTGAATGCACGATTCTTGGCTGTGTTTTTGGGTTCGCGGCAGCGGCAGAGCTGGGGTTGTTTGTTTCGAAATCCATGGGCTGTGCCATTTTGAGGGGTAACTGGGTCGTGTTGTTTTGAGGGGTGAATTTAAATGCTGGAAGTTCCGGACCTGAGGATTTCAGCGCGTGTGCCGGAAGATCATCCTGGCGAATCGGGCCTTTGGTGGCTTGCAAGCAGAAGCGAAGGCAAGCGTTGCTCAGCATGGCAGTGATGTTCGCTGCTCTCATCTGAAATATGGGAATATTTGGGCTAACTTGGGAGAACCACCAGCCTCCTGGCATTGATTTTGAGCTATCCTTTCTGGGTTGCTTGTTCTGGAACCAAAGAGACACTTCAAGCCGCATTCTGGGCTTTAATCGGGGATTCATCAACTTGGAGGGAGCCCCCAAATATGGGTGGGTGTTCCTCAAAACCACGGCGCAAGGGTACGGTTGCAGCTTCTTGGGGCTGTTTTAAGAGGAAAGCGTCACGCTGCATCGTTTCAACCGTGTCGACAAAACCCCGTGAGATCTGTGGCAGGCGCTGCGGCAGTCTTATCGCCGCGCTTCAAGGGACTTCGCCCACTTCTCAGACACGGCGGCCCGGGAGTTTCATGTGGAGGACTTGATGGCAATGATCTGCAGACGGGGATCTGTTTGTTCTTTCCTTTTTCTTTTTTTGTGGGGGCCTTTTTAAACAACTACTTGTCTTTTGTTTGTTTGTTTTTTTTGGGGGGGGCTGTTTAAAGAATTTAAGCAACTACCCTAGCAGCTGACATGGGTTTGTGCACAAAGGCCCTTTCCAAGAAGAAAGTAGTCTTTCGTCAGGAGTCTGCGCACTTTCATGTTAGTTGGTGGGAAGGCAGACCCTGGTTGTGATATTTCAGGGACAACCAAAGGAGGTGGTTGGGCCAACCTGGTTTCTTCGAACCATCACCAGGCAGGCGGCGCAGCAACCATGCAGATTGAGTGACAAAATTAATGGTAGCTGATTTTTAGTTTGGGGAGGACATGGTGTCTCACAAAAGTTAAACAGCCCACCCAATTGTCTCATGTCGGCTTGAGGAAGCATTTTCGACATGGGACAGATGCTTGCAGCTGATGTTCGCAGGACTTTTGGCAGAACTACAAGTCTCGACCGGGGACAAGTTGGGCAGCCACACCAGTAGCTGAGTCGACCATTTAGCCTGAGAGGTCTTTGTTGTTTTTGTGCGCAGAGTCAGACGTTTGGTACTGTGGCAAATCAGAGCCGCATGTGTTTTTTTTTTTTTTCTTGAAGGTACCCTGTTTGGGGTTGTTTTGCAGAGACACCAAGGAGAAGCGCTTCTGGCGTGGGACAAACCGATGCGTCAAACCAGGTTGTTTCCTTGTGGCTTCCCTTCAAGCAACAAAAACAATTGAACAAATTGCATGAAGCGGGGCAAAGGTGAGGACCATTCGCACTATTGTAGGTGGGCAAAACTGTTTTGAAGAACCCCCGGTGGCCTGCCAAATGCGGCTAAGACATCCCCATGTGTCAATGTGGGGTTGACTCGCCCAGCCCTTAGTTGAGCCACAATCAAAACCCGGGTAGATGCAGGTTAGTGAGGGGCAGTGCGGCCGCCTTTTAATTTCCCCAGAATTAGCTCCCTGTTTGATTGGCTTTGTTGGGCCCCCCTTTGTTCTCCACTCAACAGGCAAGAAAAATAGTTTTTTTTGGCTGGGGTCCTACTTCGAGCCAAGTTATTTACATGGATTTGAGTAGACAAGTTTACTCAGGTGATCTCCGGTGACTGGGACGGTTTGCGGAGCAAGAAGGCCACTGAGCAGGTAGACGCTTGGCTGCGCCAAGCGAACCTTTTTGACATGTTTTTGTGTGTGCTTGTTGATGGTACCTGTTTGGCGATGCGGTTTTAGAGGGAACAAAAAGGACAACCCCCCCAATTTTTGAAAGGGGGCCCCTGGTTTGAGACAAAACCATGATTGACCAAGGAATCTCTTGAAATGGGCTGGACATAAATCCCCATGTAAGTGCTGTCCACCAAAGGGTCCCATTGAATCGCTCAGCCGGTTTTCCCCGAGTTTGCCCAGTTTGCAGGATACGAAGGCGAGAAAGGCACTGACCACTTGGGCTGAATGAAAAAGGCGGACAGCACACGCTATAAAAAGAGACAGTCAATATTTATGAGAAGAAACTCGACATTTCTACTTGCCACCACGGACCCCTCATTTGGTGGTTTGGATTGGTGGTTTGGGGAATTTGAGCCGCTGGTTCTTGTATATACATGGGTGCTTGCACCCCGAACCACTAAACCACGGGGCTTCAAACCACCAATTGGGAAGCTCACAGCCGTCTAGATTTTCTGTGCTTTTTGGTGGAAATCATTTGGATTTCCGAATTGGACCTGCAAACAGTTCTTCACTTGTTGCAGAGGGGTCGTTACTGCAACCAAGGATCTTGTACAAACACGGGGTGCTTGCACAAAAAAAGAAAACTGACCCACCGGGCTCCATACCTATGGGGAAACTGATCGGATCCGAGGATATGTTCGGCTCATGGACCTCCTCGCTCTTCGGCCTCAAGCCCAGCCCAGCTCCTGGGCCCTGCGACGGCCGCGCATCCACTGCCCCACCAGGCGCCGTTCGGTCGGCCGTCAGCGGGGAGGGCGAGGTTTGAGCCCCGCTTTTGGTGGGTAGACGTGAAGAAGCTTTTTGCCAGTTTGGGTGGAAGGTTTTTTAAGGAAAACCCGGGCCGAGAACTTATCCGGGCCTTGTTCTTTAGGCCGATCCAAATCGCCAATCAGGCCCCAGAAGAATCCAAAACTCCTCCGGACGGCGACCTGTGATGGTTTTTATGTTAGTGGGTCTATTTCGGACCCTAAACGGTTTCCAGCTTGCACCAAAGGACAATCAGGTGTGTAGCATGTTCGAACCCCTTTGTTAGAATTATGGCAACCAATATTTTATGGGAGGCTTACTTTTGGTAAAGCAAACAAACACCCTCCCTCCCACTAGCACACGACAGTGGGTCCATTGAAAAGGATATTACCCAAGTAAGGCTGCTGTGAAAAGCAACAAAAATAGGATGCCCCCAAAAATCATCAGAGGGGCGAAACCAAACTAACCGGCACGAAGGCAGCAGCATGCAATACTAACTCAATACTAAACCAGCACCAAACCCGTACAGAACCAGTACAAAGTCAGCACTTCGCAATACTAAACCAATTCTAAACTAAGAGACTACTTGAGGGGGAAAATCACACTCCTGAATTATTTTATTTGTTTTCCCTATTAGGTCCCCTCAAATTTGCTTTGGGGGGACCATTATTAATCCGTCGCCCACGTTAGCCTGATGTGAACGCGGCTTGCTATGACCCCCTCGCATCGCATTTGTCCAACTAGCAGCATCCAGGCGAAAACGCCTCGCCACTTAGATGCTGATTCTACTTAACAAGTTTTGCATCGTCTTTCCACTTGCAACCACGGTGCACCCACTTACTCCCGTGCAACTAACATGAAGCCAGAAAACCATCCATTGTTTGGAGTTATCTGATCTTTGGGGATGAACTTTGCTTTCTTCCGTCAATGTGCAGCGGAGTAATGTTGACCCCGGATTAGCAAGCCCATCCTGCAAATAGGGGCGGGGTGTTTGAAACAGTGCTGAGTTTCAACTAAAACCAGGGACAACACCCCCCTTCGCATGAATAATAGGGCTGCTGGCTCCGCTGTGGCTGTGGGTCGAAACCAATTGTATCATTTTGGCTGGTAGGTGAATTCACCACCCATGTTGGGACCTATTTTAGTGGTTGGATTGAATCGGATGTTCACTGGGGGTACGATTTGGATTTCGACCCATGGCCAAATGAAAACCAATTTGGAGGGTCTTCTATTTTGAGACACCAATGGCTTTGCTCGCGGAGTTCTGTGAAAGCCAAGCTCCAGGACTGTACACCAGGTTCCTTGTTTCCAGACTTGCACTAGGGCATCCGTATGGGTTCTCCACATGTTGCGGGGATCGAGGGTCACCAATGTAAGCTGGAGCCCCAGGCTTCCGCAGGCAGCGCTCGGAGACCGTGGAGACCTGCTACACCGCCTGCTCCTTTTGGCACGAGCCCACCATGCGCTCCATGCGAGGAGGGCGATACCCGTCGCCTTGGCGCCAAGTCTCTGCGGGGTAAATATGGCCCGTCGGAGAATTCTGATGTCGCATTATATCCCAGAAAACGGTTTACATGTGGTTTTTGTGGATCCACCCCTGTAGAATATTGAAAGAGTACCTGAAAGATTGCAAACAAGGACCAACAGGAGGAAGAACAGGTGAATCCGCAAAAAGCGCATCCAAACCGTTTTTTTTTTTAATTATTGAAGGGGCAGGGTACTTAGTACGTGGGTAATAGCCATCGTTACAACCCACAAAAGCCACGGATATAAGTCTCCTTTCCGTGGGTTCTATCCAGGCTTACTCGCCGCTTACAGACTACCGTGCCCCTTGAATAGGTGTCCGGAGTTGGCAAAGTAGGTGTTTCCTGTTTGTTGCGGCAAAACCATGCATGTGGATAGTTGTCACATTAAGTAGTTGTCACATTTAACTTTGGGGAATGAACCCAGGGATTCCCTTAAAGGAAACCACAAGGGATGGTTTATAAGGGTCACACTCTCATTCCTTGCCGGGCACCAGCAAGTTAATTCACCTTCGGCCGGTTTGCCTTCGGCAAAAATCGCAGGAAGCGACTCAGAGAACTCCACCTTCGAGGAGTTGCCAGGCGCCTTTGGCCAAAAAGACACCAACAGGTCGGCTCGTTGCCATTTCGGCGTGTCACAACTTTTTGAGGGTACCCCCGTGTTGGGGCGTGGATTTGAGGGGAAACGAACAGGAAAAGCACGAAAACAGACACACCCATCTATCTGTTGATAATTTTGTTCGTTTGGCTCAACCTCTGCAATGACCCTTATGCTACGCGCTGCGCCTTTGAGATCTCTGGGCAACCACTGGGCCACGGATTGGTTGTCAAGCCAGGACCATCCCAATGAAAGCCAGACACCTTCACCTGGGGTTCAGAGACGTTGTGCTCAGACCGTTCGCGCCAGGGTTTTTCACCGCCAGCTGCGAGTTTGACCTGGAACGCACCCAGCTCACCAACTGCCCCTTGGCTGCGTCATTGACAGTCTCAAACGCATGCCACCGCAAATACATGCACGCCAGTGTGTAGGGGGCAGACTGACTGCTGGAAGGAACGTAGATCTGAGACCATCTCCGAAGCGACAATCCATTAAATGCATGTTTGATGGATCACGGTGCCAGCTTGTTCGCGCAAAGTACAGTTCGAGGTTCGCCTGAGGAATCCAACCGCGCAAAGAAGATACACCGTCCCAATTCCATTGGCCAACCTTGAAACCCCATCGCAGACATGTTTTCGAGCAATCGAATAGAGATTACCCAGAAGAGCTGCGGAGAGGTAGCGGCGGAGAGAGAGAGAGAGAGAGAGAGAGAGAGAAACAAAAGAAACGAGACTCACTTCTCCAAATCAACACTGTCCTAGCCCTGGTTTGAGA